TACCCATTTCTCCTGCTGCCATCTTTGTCAGTTACGGGAGCCTTAAAATCTAAAAGCAAAAGTAAAGAAGCCTGAATGGTGATAAGGTGAGACAAGCAAACAACACAGCTGACTTTGATTTTCTGAAACCCCTGTTTTTTACAGCTGAATTAAGTCATTTTTTAGGCATTATTAATGAGCAGATACTCAAAACCAAACTGACAGCACACAACCCTGTTATATAATTACCTTATAAAGTTGTTCCCTAGCTACAGCAAGTGTGCCATAAAACAAAACAATCAACTAAAAGAAGTTAAAAGGCTCCACGGAGCTGCACATTTTTCACACTAATGGAACAAAGATTTTCAATCTTTTCATTGCAGTAACATTTGGACACTGAGGTCCCACCTTTTTGTGGAGTTTTAAATTGATTTAAGTCAGAATCCCCTAGTGGCTCTCAGAAGAACTACAGTTTAATGCACATTTTTTTGGTTACATTCTACATTTACATTTACTCATTTAGTTGACGCTTTTATCCAAACCTGGGTCTCTCACACTAAAGGCACAGTCTTATCCATTACGCCATCACCACCCCACTCCTTACAGAAGAAGGAAAGAGCACCAGCTCCAGAAATAGTCAGAATCCAGGGAGGAAGAAGTGTGACTGACAGCTGATCTCTGAGAAGTGCAGAAAGAAAGAAACAGAACAGCAATGAGCACTGAGACAAAATACAAAATGTGGAATTCAAACTTTAAAGTTGGAAAATGAAATGGTGATGTGTGTGTGAAGTGATGGGAGCATGGTATTTGACACATGAGCCTTTTGGTAGATATAGATTAAAGAGAAAGCGTATACTTTACCCCCTGCAGATGGAGAAAAATAGGAAGCAATTAAAATCTTAAGGTCATCCGTCATAAAGAGGCTTCTTGCCCTGACGCTCCCGACACTTCAGGAGCAGGAGGACGCCTGCTAAACAGATAAAGCTTTTCTTTCTTCAGCTTCTGTTACACAGAGACCCCTCCGACCCACCCCGCCCTGCGACCCTCCTTAACGGATGGCTATTTATTTGCTTACACAGCTTTCCAATGGCCCCTTCAGCCTCTAAAGGTCAATAACCACACAACACCTGTCTCAGTCAACACTAATTGGAACAAAGTCTGCTTCTTTGTTTGGGGACAACAGGGACACAGTTATTTTACCCGCGCTGCACTGACTTCTTCTTTTTCTGCATTTACAAACAGACACACACACACACACACACACACACACACAACCTGTCTGCTTTTGTGTAGTATTTATGGTGAGATGAGGTGGGTACACACATGGGAACCCAACACCACATTTACTGCCAATTGCTGTGGAATGATGAAGTGGCCCATTTGGTTCAGATACACTATTTGTCCAAGGCAGACTTTGTTCTATGGGCCTGCAGATCTGTCATGTACAGCAATCAGCAGGACATCTTCCCCTCACTGCGACACATATGATGGTATTTATCAGCAAAGACCACCTGTAATGATCCATAAAGTAGATGTTATTTAACGATGTTAGTATGTTTCAGTTAAATCTCATTGAGATCAGAGAACCAGGACAGTAGTTCTGTCTTGTTGTAGGACCACGTTAGAAATCACAAGTGATTATAGTTGTTGTGGATTTTTGGAAAGTTACATTAATGGTGGGACAAGGCCCCTTCTAAGTCAGCGTCTGAAAGGTATGGGCCGAAGCTCTTATACCGTCTCAAAAGCAGCTCTGAGTAAAGCGGTCCCTTTAGTCACTCAAATACACAAAGCAATCAAAACAGATACTACAGATATAGATAGATCTGAACTGTGTGATAATTAGTTAAAGGTAGATTATCTGCAAACATAACTGTGAAAGAAAAAAAGTGTTTTTTTTAACAATGGGTAATAATCTCAAGAAAATATAATGTTCAAGAAAAATATAGACATATGAAAAAATTAAACAAACCTTTGGTGGAGATCAGAAGATTTTTTCTGTGACTAGTTGCAGTTTAGCAACTGAACTGCTAATCTTCATGTTAAAACACCACAATGCAAAAGGTTTATTGTGGAAAAGGGAAATCTACCTCTCCTCAATGACATGGTTTCCTGTCTTTATTTGGAGGAGATTAGGTATTAGATTAGGTGTAAGGTCATCTGACTCATACTGTTTTATGTGCCTCACTTGCGTATGGCTTAATGGACAGTTTATTTGAACTGCCTTTTAAATCTGTATAATGTGCGGACACAATTCCAGCTTTTCCAAGTGCTCTTTTCTGTGTTTCTGTTCAATGATGTACCGTGACACAACAGAAAGAGATGAGTTGAGAAATAACACCTTTTTTTTGCTGAAGACTGAAAAAAATAATCTGTAAATTTGCACGAAAAAAAAGATTATTTGAGTGAGGGACTAAACATCTGTTGGTTTTAAGATGTGGCAAGATAGATGTGACCCCAAAAATGCAATGATATTTGTTCTCAATACCGAAGAGTTACACAATGAGCTCATCGATGCATTTTGCGCTTTTGAGCTGCATAAGTAGTTGCACTGAGAACAAATGCCAAAAATATATAAGCTCTTTTTAACAAAAATTTATAAAGCACCCATCAGCAGTAGATTATGTTGTGCACCAAGAAGCGTAATGACATCTAAATCAACAGGGCTCAGCAACTGCAGTTGTTTTAACTTCTGCCTGCTTCTGGTTTTACTGCCAGACAGATTTTGGCTCTCGTCTTCCCTCTACTGAGGCCTACAATCTGCACCAAATGTTTCACATTACCCAGTGTGAAAACCCTCCTATTCCTCAGATTCTTTTTTACAAGTCCATACATCCATGGAAACTTGATATTTCATATTTCATTCTGGTTTGTGGATGTCATTGCAAGTGGACGCCGGTTCACATGCAACTGCCCGACCGCTGCCTTTGATCAGCCTGACCACGACTAATTGTAGACGGAGAACAAATGAAAGAAATATCGGGAGATTTCATGGGAATTGCCACTATGGCCTGAGCTGCCTGACGCCGCTATTAGCAGTTAAAATAGCCAGTGAGTACTTGGAGAATTAGCCTGTTTCCTCTTATGGTTACACAAAGATAATGTTGATGGTGTGTGTGGGAGGGTGGGGGGGTACAGGGGACACGGCTCCAACAAAAGCCCTTCATGCTGTGGTGTTTGAAACGAATGTGGCTTAGAGGAGAGCTGGGATTTAAAGTTTTCATCATTACACTGAAGCCATAACTCCTCGTTCACTTCTCAGCACATATTAACAGCACATGGAAACATAACATTTACTCTGCACTCCTTTAAAAAGCTTTAACAGCGTGAGCACAAGTCATCCCTACGCCGAAGTGACCTATTTCATGCGTCCTCTTTGAGTCTGTAATAAATTGCATCTAGAAACACAATACTGCAACCACAAAATCCCCACATGTACTTAAAAGGTATTCACAATAGAGAGCGGAATTGTTCTGGCAAACAAAATTCATTCGACGGGCCAAATATCAAGGGTGAAGATGTTAAAAAAGAAAAGAAATTTAAAGCAGCATAAATGTTCCAAATGCTTAAGAGTGGCCAGGGAATCCCACGGGGCTCGTTCGGTATTGGCCTTTGTTCCTTGTACAGGATGTAACTTTGCAAGCTGGTTTTCATTCACTCTCAAGCTCCAACAAACCAACAGCTCACTCCAGTCTTAGCTCAGATTTGCATCTTTCTTTTTTTTAACACAAAACAATTTCCGCCCGGCTGTTTTGGTGCACAAACGTGTCAAAATGTTAAGGTATGTATCTATCCAAGTAGCACGCTGACCTGTGCAGCTTCAGGGAGCGTTTGTAAAAAGGCGGCTGATTTTCCGGTTAGGAGGGCAGGTTAGCCACGGTCGCAGCAGCAGGTGACTAGAATGAGGTCATGACGTGGTCATGGGAGGGGGGACAGCAGGCCTGTGTGTGTGTGTGTGTGTGTGCACGCTGAAACCTCTGAACAACTGCTGTGAGGGAGGTGAAACACATCAGAGGCCGAGCTACAGTGTTTTCCCCCTTAGCTGAAGGTGTCGTTTCACACCACCGAGCCCTTCTGCTGTGGAATCCTCAAAGTGACAGCAGCGGATTGATTTGCTTATCCATGAAAGAGATGGACTGCTACGAGCCCCAGGAGATAACAGGGTAGAGGACCACAGTGCGCACCATGGAGAAAGACTCTGAAGCACCTGTGTCGCATTTACTTTACTTTATCTTATATCTTATATCTTTTTTCTAAACGGTTTTGTTAACATCTTGGCTCCTTAATTCAGTGACATTGCCCCGCATTACCCATTGACTAAACACAGTGCTCCATCATATTATAACTACATTATAAAAGCTATTTTTTTTCGAAAACTTTGGTGCATCTCATTCATGAGCGTATTCTTTTGAAATCTGCATTTCAAATACATCATAAAGATGTCAACAAGGCTCGTCACATTGCAAAAAACACAGTAAAAAGTCTCTATCTTACACTTCCAGATGTATTTTTGATAAAATAAGAATGACTACTGCCAGTGTGGTGAGATTATTCCACCTGTTCCCTGTGTTTCAGGCTTTTTTATTTTGGAAAAAAGACAGAGAAAGGCAGGTGGGTACAGTCGTAACTCTAAAATATTCTTGAAACAAGCTGATTTCTGCCTGACTGGTGAGATTATCACCAGTTATGTTGACTTGCTGTAAGAACATAAGACTTTAGGAGGTCAACAAGGCCTGTCCCACTTCAAAAGGACCGGAAATCTTTTCCTGCCAACGTTTTGCAGCACTCAGTATCCCACCGTGCTCTGGTCACTTGTTAATGGAGCGTTCAGATGCTCCTCGTAAAAGTGTCAATTAGGAAAATGTCACGTGACCACTTTATTTATTGTATTTATATACATAAACATATTATTCATATTCATATAATTTGTATTTGTTATAAATATGATCATATTTATACATATGTATGCACATTATATATTTACACTGTACAATGTATCATATATATATAGTAAATATTATAATACTAATATAAAGTAAATAGAGATGGATTAGAATTATAATTCTAATCCATCTTTATTTGCTTTTATTTATTTACTGTATAAATCCATCCATAAATCTTTGCATTTATTTATTTTAGTATGATGCTACAATGAGTGTATAAGTTACGTGTGCAATTATCGAGTCATGCTCATATCTGTATAAGCGAAAGGTGTTTATAGGTTTATTTTATTTTTTATTCATCTTAGTCACTCCTATCCTTTACTTTTGACTCTTAGGTTGCTACGTAAACAGAGCGGCAGTTTGTAAGAAAGAGAGGAAAACATAGTTAACATAAACAGTAAGTTCCCATATCACTGATCAGGTGATGAAAACAGGGCCATCTATAGAAAGTGTTTATGTAAAACTTTTAAAGATAGTAACCAATTAATAAAAAATGTTACATAAAATCTGTCTAAAAGTAGGAGACCTCTGTCTATGCTCAGATAAGATCCTGTTTTGCCATTGTATTAAAAGTTAAATATCCACACCCCTATAAAGATATTAAGTGGACTGGATGAAGATGAGAGGATCTGTGAGTACTGGGAGCTTAATAATGCTGGAAAACAACGGGTAAACATACAGGAACGTTTGGCGTCTGAATAGACCAATTTGGCATGGGTTGTGTAATTGACCACTGACCAGACATGAAAATAAAATCATTCATTCATTCAAAATGAGGACATCCACTCGATTAATAACAATATGTCCAAATAAATTACTTAAAATTAAGTTGAGACAGAGAAAAAAGAAACTTGATCAACAAACAAATCCAAAGAAAATAATAATAAATAATAATAAAACTTTATTATTTCAATATTTATATTATGGAATTTGGATTTTGTAATGTGCCCCCTGCCTATAGCAGCTTACACATAAACTAAAAGTTATCTAACACAACAAAGATCAACAAAAGAAATTATTAAAAGTTAAATCAACAAACAGTCTCATGTTGATCCTATCATCAGTCTTGTGTCAGTTGTAAAGTGTTCTCAATGAACACACTTGTCTTTCATGCATTGCCTGCAGCTTCATACTGAACACCAGAAATAGTTCAGGCCACTCATTGACTTTGCTCAGCATCCAGACAGCTTGGCATGTTTTGGCAAGTTTTCTGCAAGATATTGTCTTCAGTGAGGTATCGCCTTTCACTTGTTTCCTTCCCGTCCTATTTGCTGTGCGGCAAGGGCGACAAAGAGGCATAAATCTCCTGAACTACCTGTCTGATAGTCGGCCAGAGGCATCCGCTCACCACTGCCAACCCGAGAAGGGGAACTGGTCTGGGACTGGATCTCAGTTTAGCTCATAATGAGGCTTAAACAAATCCCATCCCTCTAAAGAATTAAAGGAAGAGGGAGTGCAGTTATCAAGAAGTCCCAAATCTGTTTAAATTCTCAGTGGCTTCAAAATGCGACCTGTTATCTGATATGATTCATAGAGTGTGTTGGGAAAGATGAGTGAGTGTGAAATTGTCTCTGCTTGGCGTTCCCGGTCTTCACATCCGACAAGATGAATGAGCTTGATGAGTTCTTCAGTTTCCATTTCAGCCTCCTCGCATTTGGCCTTCACGGTTTCTTTCTCTCACTCTCTGCAGAGCCCTTTTACGGGAGTCATGAGAAATGCCGCCATCAAAGAATGACTTTGTTAGGATATTATGAGCTGATGTGAAGTAAGAGAGGGGAAAAGAGAGACAGGGTGAAAAACAGAAAACACTGGTAATGGATCATAAATTACACTTTTCATGGAACAACGCGATTTGATCTGGGTGTCAGCCCTTCTGAACTGATCGGAGTGAGCAGAGCCAATAGGTTTCCTCAGGATGTTTGTGCTCCAGATGATGTTAAAAGTGAGAAAAAGGAGGACATTTAGGCAGAAACAATTAGTCTCTACAGACCAATAGGCTGCTTCGTGCCAAAATACTGCAGAAATGAGAAACTCAGATGTTCTGTCGGACCAAATGTCAAGTCAGATTGACTCATTTGTGGATCTGGTTCAAATGTGTATGCGTGTCTGTCTGGGGAGAGCTCTAACTCTATAAAAAGAAGTCCCTCATGTCTTCCCAATATCTAATGGTATCCAAGAGGAAAGTAATTAGATGATTCACCACAAACTTAAAGAGGGAGAACAAGTCGATCCCAGAGAGCCACCCCACTGAGAAACTGTAAAACGAGTGCAGAAATATCCTACTTTACTGATACTGTTTCTTTGCTAAGATTAAATCTCTATCATATGATTTTATGTATAGTAGTTAGACATTGTTTCCTTCCGTCTTATTTTTTTGTTATGAAACAAAATAAGAGTAAAATTTAATTCTTGACCTCACAGTCTTCCATGACAAAGATTATCTTTGAACCGTCTCTAGCTCATAGCCAACCAAAGCTTCATACTTTGGTCCTGTGACAAGCAAACATCCACTGATGAAAAGGTCCGATTTAAAGGTCCTGAAGAAGTGAATGTCTGCTAAGCATAAACCTGCACTAATCACAGTGACAGCTGTTTGAAAAGGCCCTAAAAACCAACTGTACGCTACCCGCTCGGTACCAAAGAGCACAGCAGACAATGGTAACGAGTAGCTGGCGAAACATGCTGGAGAATTTAACAGCTAAAGACACTGATATCAGGAGTTGGTGGAGACAAAAATGGTAGGAGAGTGAATATTGGACTTAAATTGCAAACACGATTGCTGATGTTACTCTGTCTGCTGGATGCTGTAAACAGGCAACCATTTGCTAACATTTACGAACATTAGCCATATCAACTCTTTAAGGTTATATGTCAATATTGTTTAATTAAAAGAAAAATAGCAGCTAATTTGAAATACACTGTAGGTATTTTGCAGACTTTAGACCGTCCACATAATTGTTTCTATACAGCTTATTAAAAATGACATTAACATTTTTCTTTTTCTTTAAATGTGAATGGAAGTTTGTCGTTGACATTGGAAACTGTAGTTTCACCAAAAGTAAAAAAACAAACAAAAAAACACAAAACAAGCGAAACATAAAAAGTTATTCAATTCCACTTACTAACTTTTTCCATACCTTCCCTTTTATGTTTTTTCTAGAAAGACTATGTTTGAGCAGGGGACAGAAAATATAAAGCTAGGAAGTGGAGTTTAACTACTTAAATGACCTTTACACAATTACAAACTAGTATAAAAAAAAATCTAGTATAAAAAAAAATCTATTTTAATCCTCTTAAGCTGAATAACATAAGGTTTGACAACAAACTTATTGAACTCTTTAAATAACATTGGATGCTTCTTATAAATTGGAGAGAAAAGGTATTGAAGCCAATTTCCCACTTTTGAAACATCAAATTGACTGACAGTCCTGTGTAATTTCTTGCCAACACATTTTTATGGTATGAAGTTTTGTTACACTGAAGAAAATTGATGTGTTTTTATTGTGTTTAACACCTGACTTCGATATTTTGGAGTGGACGTTTATCCTCCTGCCAAAAAACCTTCCCTCTGAAAATGAAAATTTACATTTTATTTGCTTCACCCTAACCCAAAAAGTTTTCCTTCTTTGTCGGCTAACCTTTTTATGTAACTAGTAGGTGAAAAGGCTGTGCCCAATCCCTTGTATTGTAACCTAATATAAGTTTAAGTGAATAAGTGTAATTTCCACATGATTTTTGTCCACATTAAATAATTTTCTGACTTAATGCTCATTTTTCAAAATGTTACGACCTCATTGTAGCGAAACCCTCCATGTGGAGGGTATCGTATCCCCCCTGAAGTGAAGAACAAAACATCAGACGGCTCAAGAAGAGTCTCAGCAAGTGCATCCGCCGCATACCACATTTTAACAAGTATCTTACCACACTCACGCTGTAACCAAGTCAAACCATATGGGCAGAAGGAAGGGTGGGTGCTCTGAGGATGGGAGTGGGCGTCCCATCTCAGGATCGAGCCATAAGTCATGTTGAAATACCTCAGAGAACATCATGAGGACAATTACTGGGTGGAAAACAAAAACCAGACAGGCAGCTAACAGAGAGATAACAACTTTTTGCTTTATTGGAGTAAATGAAAAACAGCCTCTGGAAGCAGACTTAATACCTGTTTTACCTAGTTTCCTTACTTTATTCACTTTAAATAGCTTTTTAAATAGTTGAAGTTAAAAGTTAAAATTGTCCTATTCCCAACTGTTTGACATTATCATATCTGCTCTGTATTAGCTTGTCCCGACTTTTCATTGAAAGTTCTGATGTTTACACCGAGTAAAATATTCCAACCCAAGACCAGGTGTTTATTTCATGGCTGCACCATTTCATCAAACGGAAATATTTTAGATGTCTTGTTCATCATTTTATACACATTTGGTATCTCTGGGAATGTTCTGCCCTCTAGAATTTAAAATTATGTTCTGTAGATTTGAACAAAGTCTGGCTGCACAGCATTGCAGAGCAAAGAGTAACGAGTGGCCCACTGGCATTTAAAGCTGTGGTAGGCAACGCTGGAGAGGCTAGTAAGAGACTTTACAGTTTTTCTTGATTGCTTAAACACATTTCTCGAAATTATGCCTCTTTTTCTTGAAACTCTAAACACAAATCCACAACTTCTCACCCATTTCCCCAGACGTCCTAATTCCAGGTCAAAATAAAGCGCTCCACTCAAAACCATTCAATCTTGCTGAAAAACCAAACTTTGAAATAATGAGAAATTCAGAACAATATACATAAACTGGTTATTAGTAATGTTGCGTGTGGCCTAAGAAACCATTTCACATGATGAACACAAAAGAAATATAAACATTTGCACATTTTTTTTAGTCCTTAGTGTGCTGTACAGTACAACATACAAACCAACAAATTATTCTGCCCCAGAACCTCTGGTCAGTCTTTGGTCAGGGACAGGCCAGAGATTCTCATTCTCCAACTCCTCCTTTCTACTCCTCCTCCCTCTACCTCATCCACCTCCTTCTTCACCTCTTCCTCCCTACTGCTTCTCCCTCCTCTGTGTCACAAAATAGCTGAGTGCGTGTGTGGTTGAGGACCCAAATGCAGGACATGGATGCAGGCAGGTAAAGTTCAAAGGTTTACTAAAACAAAAGTGAGCACACTTACAAGTAGAGTGGCTGTGTCCAGAGTTTCCAAAAATCATAAACAATCCAAATGAACAAAGAGATCCAACAGAACAGGTAATCCAACAGAAACTCCATAACGGGAAATCCGCAGGAAATCTCTCTCACACACACACTTAACGATCTGGGAGGGATCAACACAGGTGACAGGCAATCAGAATAATCAAGCACACCAACACACAGGCAGGCAGAGGGACTAACAGGGGAAACAGGCAGGCACAGGTTACTAAACACAGGCCATATCAAAATAAGACAGAACAGATCAGAATAATATGAATAAACTAATCCAGAACACAAGCAGACAGACATTATACAAATAAACTACAACCATCGGGGTAAACAGACTGAACTGGGATCAAACAAAACACAGAGCAGACATGAGCAAAAAACAACACAGAAGTACACAGACCAGGATTAAACACTAAGACATGAACTAAGGCACAGAACCAAAACGCAGGACTAAGTAGTAAGAATGAGAACCAACACAAAATCCTCACAATAATGAACAGGGCAAAACAGCAGAACACAAGATATGGAACCAAAACAAGACCAAAATCCTTAACTCATAACACTCTGCCCTACTCCTGCTCCGCCTCCTTCTTCTCCTGATCTTCCTCCTGTCCCATCTCCTCTTCCTTCACCTCTTACTCCTCTTCATACTGCTCTTGCTCTTCCTCCTGCTTCTCCTCTTCCTCCTTCTCCTCTCTGGTGTCCTCTACCTCTTCCTTCACATTTTTCTGGATCCATTGTTCTGAAACTAAACGAACTGACTCCGGCCCTTTTATCTATTGAAGGTTCTGATTGGTGTGTTATTAATTTTGGATGGTAGTTTTTCCACCTGGGTAGCTGTGTGCTAATTGAGCTCAAGCTGTGCTGACTTGAGTGAACAATATTGAATGTCAGTGCTTTCTCAATGACCACATGGTGTAGTCAATGAGAAAAGATGATTTGTGTTTAGAGTTTAGGGAAATGGGTGTGCTTTTTGAAAAATGGAGTTATGGTTTTGAAATTTTAGCTCAAAACCCTGCTTATAGCGATTAAGCAATTGAGAAATACTGTAAAAGTATCCTACTGAAAAAATCCGGCTCATTTCAGCCACTCCCCCAAAACACATTTTGATGCACAGTGAGTGCAGGGCGGGCAGGGTGCACGCAGGTAGACAATTAGGCGGGTTGTTCTTTTACAGTCCTGTTTTTATATTTTACATTTTTATTAGTATTGTCAGGTTGCCGTTTTGTACTCATGTTGCTCTTGTACTACGTTTGAGTGTTTACCTTTATGGCAGGATTTCCACTTGTGGCCACAGTCGCAGCAGCTCATTTCATGCTAATTACATTTTTTTTTAATACAATATAATATTTTCCAATGAGAATATTTGGTACAGAAATAGCTGCGTAACAATTGTCATCTAATCAATCCACATGCCATCAATTCTGCTCTTATAACTTATAATAAGGTTGTAAAAAAAAAAAAAAAACATTACTGGAAACTTTCTGTAGTCTCAGGTTCAGGCTTCCAAACTTTCCTAGTTGCAACATGCCAAGCTTTATTACCTTTATTAATCATTGGCAGGAAAGATACCCAAATGGGCTGTTGAAGCTTTTCTCAAGTAGATATCGAATTGATTTACATGAGGTCAGTTCTGTCTGTTTGTGAAATATAAGTTATTTGAGATCAAAGAACAGACAACTATGGTACAATACAGATACATTAAATATGGGTGTAAACTCATACACTCCCTACATTCAATTTTCCATATGTTGGTCATATATACTATTACTTGGAGCAGTCTGAACAGAGCAAAAATCGTGAACATCCAGTATCATTAATGCTACATGCAGCATTTCACCTGTTAAAGGAATATAATTTAATACAATCTTACTTCAAACTGCTAAAAGTGATGTTGGCTTGAACTCTCAAAATGTTGTAGAAAAATGGTTCTCATGTTGCTTATGAAGATAATTAGTCTTGTGTGACAGCGAGCAGGTCGGTGAAAAGCTGACAGCTCCAGTTAAAAGTATCTGTGGCAGAGAGTAAAAAATGACCTTTCTTTAAAATTGCCCAAACATTCCTCCTACAGAGACATGCAAAACGTTTTAGTTCTACACAGCATGCGCACATAATGGTCAGCCACCTGGCTCTGCTAGGGTTTTTTTATGTGGGAATTTCAGACTAATTCAGCCTGGAATGTCAGATGTGTTCTCAAGATCATGCACCTGATACTAAAAAGCACTTCACAAGAGCTCCAGTACAAGATAGATCGCTCCCCGGAGAGTGTTGCTCTTCTTTCCATCCTAGAAGCAACAACCCCTTTTCTGCCCTTGGTTTTTATATATATATATATATATATTTTTTACAGGAGACTCCTGCTGGTGCACACTTGACAGCTCCCATCATGTCATTTAAATTTCAAAGATATTTCTGGTAAGAGGAGATAGAGGAATCTCATATTATCTGCAAACATGCGCGGGCTGCAAATCTGGCAGCATGTACACAGAGACTCCTCTTTTTGTGCGCACTTTATTTTTTTGTACCCTGAAGAGGATGAGACACCAGCGGGCCTGAGCTCAGTGGGGGGGGCGGGGTATATAGAGGGGGGTCTGGAGGGGAGGTGGAGTTTTTTGGCAGCAACTTCAGAGAACACGGGACACCTCGGGATCAGGTCGATTAGGGCTTGCGTGCCCGTGTCCAGGTTTATGGTGGCTTTTCACTGGAACATAACCTCTTTGTTGGACAGAGGGGTGAGGCAGGTGTTTTCTCCCCCCCGTCACGCGGGTGTATAACTCAATGAGGCCCTGAGATAGACACATTCACACTTAAGGATGAGCCACTAACCTGAACCACCAGGTTAGCAGGTTAGGTTAGGGATGTAACTGAGTACTTTTACTCAAATACTTTACCTAAGTACAATTTTGAGGTTCTTGTACATTTTTACTTTATACTTCTAGTCCACGGCAGCGTTTTCTTACTTTGCAGAGCCAGATTATTAATACAAAAGATTGTCAACTAATAAATGATCATTTTTTATAGATTAAGCCACCAGGCAGTACTTAGTAGTACAAGGTATGAAGAATGAATTAAATCAAAGGGGAACGCATCTAAAATGTAACATGAAGATTTGTACAGCTCCTCTCCCATAGTATCCATCATGAGTATTTTTACTCATGATGGATACTAGTATATGAAAAGGGACTATATGTAAGCAAATTTTTGTATTTTCAAACATTCATATTTCTTACTGTCAGTGGGCTCAAAACTCTCCGTTGCTTGCATCAGCCACTATTCTGCTTTTAATGTGAGGTCTCCGGATCGGATTCAGCCCTGTGCGCGCTCCCGAGCCTCTCTCATACTACAGCGACAACACGGCAGCTAACGACATGCAGCCCACTAACACCATAAAACAACCGGCTCACAGCAAAACGCAAGCTCCACGTAAGGATACAAAACAACAATAAACAGGTTCAGATGATGTCGAGTAAGAACAAAGTAAGCTTTAGCAAAGCTGGAGAAACACAGAGAAAGTCGCGTTAGCTTGCTGGCTAATGCCGAGCAGTTGCTAATGTTATCCGGAGCAAAGTTATATCGCTTTCCACATTACTTCACCAACTAACTTGACCCATGTTACTATCCTGTGTACCACTGTTGATTTAGCCTGCAAGAAAGGATGTAACGTCAAAAAGCAAATGTGGAGCGATTTATGTACTAATGTTAACCTATAGTGATGCAGCCAGGAGCAGCCAGCTAATGCTACAGTAGCTCGGACCTGCCGCTTACCAATACTCAGGTACACAGCTTCTCCACCTCTCCGGCGCTGTAACTAACGTGACCCACATAATATAAAACACTGCAACTTCACAGCGAAAACAACCCAGAGGAAGAGCCATACACTAACACTACAGTAAAGTTACTTACTGCAGTCTAATTATTACCAAGTGTGACGCAATCTCGTTATAATATTCAGTCCAGCTCACTACCCGTTTCCTTATCATCCAATACATGTATCTGTGCTGACATTGCTGAGCCTCCGGTGAAAGATACACAGATAGTAAAGATAGTTACTGAAAGCAGCAGGCAAGCTAACAATGTAGCACGTCGGCTAAATGCAGTAAATGTACCGTGATCACGTAACGAGCATGGATTAGTTCAACCTGCAGCTGATAAAACTATTATTGTAATGTTGCAGTAGGGGTTTACCTGAGTTTCCAGTATATTGTGTGAAGCTGTCACTCTGCCTTTTTTCCGGGAGGAATGTACCGATATGCGTCTGGCTGTGCTGAATGAAGTAACGTTACGGAGCCGGTGTTGAGCTGCCTCTGAAACGGGAACATTGATGTTACAGAACATGAACATGTCTGAATGAAAAGCCACAGCCTGCATGCTGGTGTTCCTGCGTTTATTGCAGGATTTCTGTGTGAAAGTGGTTGTGTTTCAGATTATGCTGGCTCACGAGTTCAAGCGAGCACGCGCACGAGCACACGCCTGGTTGCAATCTGAAAACCACTAGTGGCCGCTGGAAACTACATAATACCCCTTTAATGCTTATTATTTTTTACATTTGTTTAAATAAAGTTTTCAATGCATAATTTTTTTTTACTTGTAACAGAGTATCTTTCAACCTGGACTCTATTTTCCCATGTTTTTGTGTCTATGTGACAAATTGGGACAACATTTGATACTTTTGTTTTAAGAGATTAAGATTTTTGTTTACCCAGAAACAGTCAATATGTCACTCTTGTCAAAGCCACCAGACTCCGTTGACAAAAATAGTAATTATAAATACTAAAAAAAGTCCATATCTGCAGGGATCACTTCCACATTGTTGTCAGACACTAATAATCTGAGCCTATATGGGACAAAAACAGGCACTTTAGTGGATTTAGTGGATCCAGCAGTTGTCTACATAATTAAGTCTAGATTACCTTTGCTAAATTTTAGATTCAAGCTCAAAGCTCATGTTTTGTATAAATCTCTCCATTTACAATTTGCTTCAAAACCACTTTTACTTTCATGGTCATAATGTAAACATCCTGGTCCAGGGCAGTGTAAATAACCGTTATTCAACATCTGGAAAATAGTTCAATTACCGTTATAACTCAAATGAAACAGAGACAAAAACAGAACTATGTCTCATGGTTGAAGAAAGCGCAGCAGTGCAAAACATAGAAAACAGTTATGTTTACATTCTTGAAAATACTGTTCTCCATGAAAGCATTTATGCAAATTAGTCAGAGTTAGGGATTAGTGTTTACGTTCTCCTGTAGGGAACAGCACAAACACCCTCAGGCTTGTTCTAAATGACCCTTTGCTTGGCCTTTGCCCTTCAGTTAGTTATCCTCTTAATGGCGAGTGGCACCAATGCAACACACACACACACACACACACACACACACACTATACACCTCTGCTTGCAAACTTCTGGACTTTTCTGTAATCTTTGATTTTTAGTAAATTATTGGATAATTTGATGTCTGTGGCATTTATTCATTATTGAAATGAAACCATCTGAAACGTCCCATCAACAACTCATCCGCGACATGACAGTGGGGCCAAACTAGACCGGCCACCAGTTTAATCTTTAACTTTTATAAGTTGATCATATGGGGTTTAATTTATGTAAAATCTTTATTT